AAGAAAAGTGCTGGTAAACATTTTATTACGATTTTATCAAACGCTATCCAGATGTCAGCTTGAGAAGGCCTGAGTCAACGAGTATGATGAGAGCTGTTGGTGTTAATAGGCCTCAAGTTGAACGGTTCTTCAATAATTTAAAAGCTATTTGTGAAAAATATAATTTTGACTCATCGGACATCTATAACTGCGATGAGACAGGGGTCAGCACAGAAGCAGGCTAAAGTGATGACACTCAAAAGTAATCGTCAAGTTGGCAAGTTGACTTCTGCTGAGAGAGGTTAAAATGTCACATTTATGTTATGTATGAGTGCTGCTGGGTATTTTTGGTGGAATAATTTACATCGGTCTCAGACAAGACCGAGCGGGCATGCCAGGGAGACTTTCAAAAAGAATGGGTCAATGTGTAAAAGAGTATGAATGCGTAATCCCGAGCCTGTTGTGGATACGAGTACAAGTGGGCTTAAAGAAGTTGTTCGTTTTAGGGGTGTATACCACAGATATGTTCAGGTCGCTTTTATCTAACATTAGTTTTCGAAGACTGATAATGAAAAGACTTATAATGAAATGCAGGGAAAATGAAAATATTGTCATGAGATTTTAATGAAAGTGTTGATGTGAAGAGGTTGGGTTATGAAATTATATTGGGAACGTTTGGTGGTGAAAGTATAATACAGGAAAAAACTTTCTGTACATGTGGAAAAAAATCTTGTGAAGAACAATTTATTTCGTTATAAGAAAATTTACATGTATACATGAGAATGAGGAGATGATAGAAGCATAATAGATTTCATAAAAGTGAATGAAAGAATGAGGAGTGCAGTGGTAGATAGTTAGAAGGTTCACCGCAGATGCAACGAGGGCGGTTCATTACTTGATCTTATATCGAGTTAATGGTCTATTCTCTATGCAGACGTTGGAGGCATCGGAGGTCTGTGTCTACCACTGCGTTACAGTAGTATAGGAATAGAAAAGTTACAAGATGAAAGTCTGAAAGAGAAGTATAAATGTAGACTGACAGAAAATATTAGTGACTTAGATGATTTGTACATGAATGATTTAGCCACGGAGACTGTGTGAAATAATCTTAAGAATGGTTTGGTTGATGCATCAACCAGCAATCAAAGTATTTGGTATTAGTAGGAAACCAAATGAAAGGAAAAGCAATATCTTATTTACCATGGGGAGTGCTCTGAGGAATTGTTCGGATTAATCCCAGCCGCCAAATTTCACGAACGCACATCGCGGCAGAACTCCCGATACCATCCACACCATCTGGATGATTGGCGGTCCACCAATGTGCGATTTAGAAGATGTTTTCTTCCTCGCACAACTTCCTTGTGAAATAGTTTACCACCAGCGATTTTTCCGGACCGATACGACTTAGGGACCTTCAAGAAAAGAGCCTACTCCTTTTTAAAAGGCCGGCAACGCATCTGCAATTCCCCTGGTGTTGCGGTTGTTCATGGGCGGCGGTAGTCACTTACCATCAGGTGAGCCGCATGCTCGTTTGCCCCCTCTCCAATAAAAAAAAGGATAATCAGGTACGAATGGAAGTTGAAGCAAAGAAGACTGCATGGCTAGATTTACAAGCGATCAAAGCTAGTAATTCTGGTGGTATGGATGATGTAATCGAAAGAAAAAAAGCCAGTGTTTTTACGTCTAAATAAGAGAGTAAAATAAGTAGGTGAAGGAAAATGCAATAATGAACACAAAGAAATAATCTAAAAATATCTGAAAACTTCAAGACAAATATTAAAAAATTCTGGAAACTCGGAAAAACTGCCAGAAGAAACTCAGAACAGCCTAGAATGAATGTTATACGAGACGGGAACAGCTCGAAGAAGAGATGGAAGAAATACTTTAAAAGTGTGGTTTTGTATGAAAAGACGTCTGAATTTAACGAACTAGAAATTCAGAAAGAAGAGAAAAAGGCCAGTTAGATAAGTTTAGACAAAATAATGAAAACAATTAAAAGCAAGAAAGCAGGTAACGCATCCGGGAATAATAGAGTATCACTAGAAATGCTATGGACACGAGAGGAAGTGGTGGCAGACCTGCTGTACACTTTATTTAATTTATGTTGGGTACTAAAGCGAGTACATATCGGGAGAGTGATGCAAAGATGTTATAGTCCTAATATATAAGGGTCACAGCAGGACTTTAAATACTACCGCGGCATAAACAAGCTTAGCATTTTAGGAAAACTCTATGCTAAGTTGTTGATTGAGGTAAATAGTTATTTATCAAGATAGGCGTCATTCCTATCGAGAACCTTTTTCACATAAATTATTAAAATATTATTTTTTCTAACGCCGGACGGAGCTTTATTGCCTAGGTACTTAGCATTCATATTTGAGAATGTTAACTATATAATACTTATTATTAACAAATGCAAATGAACGTAGCAATTTAAAATATAATAGAGACGTTGCCTATAACATTATTTTTTATGAATTAAGTGAATTCTTTATTTTTTATTGATATAGTTAAAATACATCATTCATAAGTGAAACATTTAAAATCTTCTTTATACAATATTATAAATCAATTAGTGTTCATTATGCACGTTACGTAATGAAAAGCATTTTCTAAAAAAAAATCTAGTTGAATATCATTAAACGGTGTCAAGAATTTCTAGCTTTAATGTTTTAAATTTCAGCCGGGAATATCTAGACACTGACTAATTCTGAAAAGCGAAGTTATTAAGAAAGAAAAATATTTACAAGAATCATTTCAAGCCACTTTCAAACGCCCCGTAAATAGAAAGCGATAAGAAACTTGTAATAAGGTCCTTTTGAAACCACATATAATGAATAACAGTTCTTATAGGTACTTAGTTCTTGAGTTATTAAGGTGTGAAAAGTCTTATTTTTATTACTCACTGACACACTCATCAAACATTTAGGCTACTTACAGATTATTTAAAAACGTAAAATTTAGACCAAGATTCCAAGAACGTTTTACATTCCTATATATCCTGTGAACGGGTCAATTTTTTTCATATTTATGTATCTTTTGGCGGGATTTCTACTGTTTCAGTTATTATAATCTAGTACACATTTTGTTCACAACATTGGGTTTACCGTGTCTGTATATTTTAAAAGATACTCTGCCGCCTGTCCTAGGTCTTGAGATTTTTACTTATGTTACTCGTCTATTAAGCCATCATAAGTCGGTCGCCAGGGTCTTGCCGAATCTCGAAGTGAGCATTTTTCGTATGCATATAAGAGTATACAACAACAATAGTGTTGTGGCGTTTTCAATAGTATTTCAGCTTTTTTTTAAACAACTGTAAAACATTTTATGTGACATAAATTTTCCCTATGTAATTACGATGGACGATTCGTAAAAAAGTGCTTTGGAATTATTGTTAGAATAAAAGAATTTTAAGATCTAAACTTAACTAGTTTGTTACAGTTTTAGTCAAAATATTGGATAATATCTAAACTTACTCTTTATTGACGTATGAGGTTTGAAGAAAACATAATTAAATACCTAACATTCTTTTTTCAGTCTTAATTTGTAGCGTTCGCGCAAATATAGAAAAATATATAACCTTAAAAAGATTTCGTCGTTTTAAAAGGCTTCATCGACACGATGTGTCACGACGGTGATAGAACAGAAATATCAGGTTTACGATTCATGAGTTTATTTCCTATTTTTCTCACTTCTCCCTTTGCTACTACATACGTAATGTTTACATAAATCGAAGGCCACGCGATATTTCTGGCACTTCGTCAACAATGACCAAAAAGTGCAGATATACATGTGCACATCTCACAGCTGGGAACAGGCTTCCTCTGATATCTAAGAGGAATTTAGAATCGGGAACAATCCACCGCAAAAGCCTGTGCTTTGATGGTTTTGACATGTTCTTGACAAAGATCGTTTTTCAGATTGGTCCTTTACGAGTTTTTTAGATTGGTCTTTTACGATGTTTTTCTTCACCTCCTAGGAGTTATAAATTAGTACTTAAATCTATGCATTACAAATTCAGTAACTAGGCGAGAAACGAAGTTGGATTGCCTGTTGCTATGAAATTTTAGGTAAGCGCCCAGCTCTACACGGAATGAGGTAAGGCAACTGTGGTAAGGCGGAAGATCTCTTATGCTATACATACACGACGAAATAAAATTATGTATAAAATTTTGTTAAAATGAATTTGAATCTAAATTACCTTACAAATAGATAACCTAATTAATCAAATTAATTATAATAATTTTTACGGATTTTATCGCGTTTAATTTAATTTTTTTTAATTCCCGATGTTTCGGGTGCTTTACAGCACCCATGATCACGGGGGGGGGGGGGACTGAAGTGTTTGACGTCCCGATGTCATGTCATAGGTAACCTTTAGTTTTTGAATATTAATTTTTCGTCCGATCTACGCAGAATGAGCTTTAGTATCTTTTTTTTATAGGATAGGGTGACAAACGAGCACACAGTCCACCTGATGGTAAGTGGTTGCTGTGGCCCATACACATCTACATCTATCCTCGTTTGCAATGCGTTGTCACCCGTAAGGACTAAGATGAAATGCCTCTTTACCAGTAAAAAGGGTCTCCGGCTCTCTACACTCACCATACGAAACATAGCAGTGATAAGCTGTTATTTTACGCTGGTATTCTGTGAGAGCGTGGTCCTTCCCCGGTCGAGCCGACCTATTTGTACTACAACTATACTACTAATATAGCTGCAGCATAAATTCTCTAAAACTCTAGTATTATTATTTTTATATAAATTATATAAAAATAATAATACTAGAGTTTAAAATTATATGTATTACAGTTATAGGACAATTCAACGACACGTATTAATCACAATAATAGGAAAAACACTAGTTTATAGTCATGAAATTAATTTATTGCATCGGCTCTTAATAAGTCTGCTAAATTTTAGACTTTTTAAACTCCTGGAAGTGGATTAAAATTTAAAACTAATACATAGATACATACATATAGATTAAGCTTATATAATCTGTAATAAAAACTACTCACGAAAGTAAATCCTACGCCTATACAAACAAGATATCCCCAGCCACCGTCAGGAGGTGCTAAGGCTTTGCTGCCCTTCTTCTCCGTCCCTTCGAGATGTGCGAAGGCTTCGTCCATTTCCTAGTAGTGATTTATCTCGGCACTATTTTTTTTACGAGTTTAACTTGCTTGTGTGATGCATTTGATGTTCGTGAAAAGATGAAAAAGAAATTACAATTGACAAAACAATTGCATTAAACTTTGCGTTCTAATGCAAAGTCGATCCGCGCACGTCCTTCCTACACAGTTTCTGTCATCTTATTGGCTTAGTCGGCGCGGCGGTTAAATAAGTCTCTGATTCTGTCAATTCTGAAGTAAATCCAACATCGCTGTCTATTACCTTTATTGGTTTAGAGAATATAATAGATGACACGACAGGCTGTTGAAATATTTTCGTTACGTTCATTGGCAACATAAGTCGGTATCTCTTTTTGCTTTTACGGTTATTTGTTTTCAAATAATTTAAATTATTTATTTATTTATTTATTTCATAGACAGTAGAAAGTATAACAATTAATAAGGTGTAAACATAAACTCTTTTGAGTTTTACCGTACACCCCACGCCGTCGATATACAACAATAAAGATTAAAACTATTTATAACAATATTTGCTACACACTTCATACATACATATTTAAGAAACACTCATAAGACAATCACACATTTTATAAACACCATACGGGTATATCACAAAATAAAGTTATGTAAAAACCTTTTGTGGACGTTCCTATGCAGCATTGTCTTCATTTATTGATACTTTTTTATTCTATGAAATTTCTTTTATGTAAACATTATAATAAATGATCGATTTTTATTCTTGTATGGTTGTGAAGCCCGGTGTAAAAAATATTATAGCGATATTGCAAAAATGCCATGTTATTATATGCAGTAAACAGTACCCATAAAGTAAAAACGGGTTATATTAAAATCTTGCAATAAAAATATAAAAGTTAAAATATTTTATTCACTTAAAAATTACTATTATAATAACTAAATTTTATTAAATAATGTAATTCTCTAAATAAACTAGCTGAAAAAATGTACGTAAACCTATATATCACATTAAATGAAAAGACTTATCCTATACAACGTTCTTTGAACATACACAACTAAAAAAATATATAACAATTAACATTCTAGTCGCAATAGCCCTTTTTTCGTTTTTTGCCTAATTACTTATGAACGGGAAAGTGTAGGTAAATAATTACCTATGTCGATGCCGCGTGAGCACTGCGTACCTGCCGCACCGTTGCCGCTTTTACATGTCTCTTCTGGTCAGTACACTAATATTATCAAGGTGATTTATTTCGTGTCAATTTTTACGCTACTTATTTTGTTTGAAAGATGCATATTTTTATTTTTGGTAGAATTGTTTATTTTATTATTTTAATCGACATATATGAACTTGTATATACCGCTGTGTTATTTAATGTGATAACCTAGTCGCCACCCAGAATAAATAGAGGTTTATTTCTTTTCCCTCTGCTGGTCACATTCATCCATCCACAAAGCACTATACTGAGTTAGTCGTAGCCGGTTTGCTCCATCACGTCGACACAATCTGGTATACGGGTTCAGTTTTATTTAGAATAAATTAATTCTTAAACTTGAACACGTCATTTTGGGCCCTATTTATATAAAAATAATTTTATAAGTACGTTATTATAGTCTTAAAATATAACATCAATAATTATAGCGTACTTTCTATATGCTTCACATCAACTAGGTACATCCGATTTCGTAGTATATATAATATATATTAGTTTTATTGTATTTAACTTCCTGGTGTCTTCTCTGTTAGCCACATCAAGCATTATGACCGGTTTAGTTTTGAATGTTTTTTTTTTAATCAAGATTTTTAGTACTTTATATTATAATAAAACACGAAACAATTCTTTAGTTACAAAAAAAATTTTTGTAAATTAATTATTCATGTGTCATCCACATATATTCTTACATACATTATAACTTCAAAGACATAAGTTAGAACTCAAAATCAGTTCTAACGAGTTATACAGGCTCATTAGAAACTTTTTTTATGTATCTTTGGGTCGATAAATTTAAAAATAAGTTTATATCTGGTTTCTTTTATTTCTAGAAGACTTTTTTGGCGTAAAGGGTTTTAAATATTTGAAGACATAGAAGTTGTGTAATTACTCTAAGTTTGAAGAATAGAAAAATTATATTGGAATATTTTTTTCGAATCCTTTTTATTCAGATAAGAATATCGCTTTACAATAAATTACCTAACTATCATCATCAAAGTCACCATCATTAGTGTTTTCACAAATTCAAAGCTGAACATTGGACAAGTCGTAGTTTCGTAGGATATCAACGGAAACTCACACTCTCTATAAAAGCAGATGTCTGGGGAGCTATATCCTTGACTGACTACACTGGTTGCACAGTTTTATTTTTGATTGAGCGATGGTTCAGTGAGAGTATTTATTTCTTCCTGATTATGAGCACTCTTTATAATTAGAAGTACAACTTTTTTTTATACGTAGGGTAATTCATCCGACAACTGTGTTCGCCACAGTATGTACGTCCTTGTTCCCAGTGGAGAAGCGTAACTTAGAGGGGCCCTGTATCAAAATTTATCGGAGGGCCCAAATGAAGGGTAAAGATTTTTCACAAAATGAACAAAAACTCTCGCATTGAATTAAAATTATTATATATTGATTATAAGTTATTACTTACAATTAACACTCCTGGGAACTAAGCTAGCCAAACAATTCTAACCACCATCCTGTCCCATAGAAGTCCTTAGAATTTTTGCTTACATATTTCGGGACCTCTGTAGTCCGGGGCCCCGTATCATTGATACGGCTGATACGGCGGCAGCTATGCCCCTGCTTGTTCCTCAGGCCGATGTGTATATGTGATGTATATGAGCAAGGGCCACAGCAGCGTTCGTGGAGACGGTGCGGAATGGTTTGATCGCCTTAACGGCGAACCTTCGTTCCAGACGCTCCCTGATCCGTTCTTGGCCACTACATGCCTGTTTGCCTGGTTAGTTGTGTATGCACAATTTGTTGAAAAATTTATGATGCCTTGGTAATGATGCACTCCACATGTTTAAAAAGCATCCAATATGGTACCTAGTAATTTTATTTTATAGTCAAATTTGATGGATTGTCCATTCATAATGATTTTTGCACCCTTTGCACTTTGTATTTGTTTTAAAAGTAATAATTTTGGTTGTTGAAAAGAAAACCAAAAACCAATGTGACGCTGCGCTCCCATTCTGTTATTGTAGATAGTGCCTCATTAGCTGCTGTCTCAAGCTGATTGACTGATCTCTCTGGTTAGATTCACAGAAAGAACTCCGTCAGCAAAAGCCTGTATATAATAATAATAATAATAATTTTATTGCTTTAAAAGAAGTAGTAAGTTGTTACAATATTGTTGGGTACTCTCTTTTAAGTAAATATATGGCAACCCGCTCTTAGCCCTACATTAAGTAGCTCATCGAAAATGACATTACATAGCCTGTAGCAGACAGAGCCCTGAATGCACCCCTTGGGTAACATTTTGGAGACTCTTACTTCAACATGGTCTAGGGTCACCTTGAGGTTCCGAACATAGCTACGAATGATGTTTTTATCACCATGTTTTTGGCCACCAAGTGTTGTCAATCGTCATTTTGGTATCCAAGGAGTTGTCAATGACTAGGTCTTTGTTACCCTTGGCTAATCTGATCACGTTGAGCGCTGTGTTAATTGCTTATTGCGATAATATTTTGCTCGGCTTTGGAATCATTTTGTAGTAAGCCACCGTCCAACAGTCTGGGAAGTGTTGGAGCTAAGTATGTGTTAAAAATATTGGTTAATAATTGTGGGTAATTCTTTGCAAACTAATTGACAAAAGAATGGTGAGTGGCTATCCTGCCCGGGGTCCTTGTTGCGGTTCGTGGAGTTAAGATGTTCCAACACCTTATCCACAGGAAGGGCAGCTCGGTACTAGTGTTTGGCGTGTCGTCAAACTGGGCAGTAAACTCTATGGCAATACGGAAATAGATTTAAAATTAGTAGTGTCCTATGAACTATCAGTTTTAAATAACGGTATGATTAAGAGTATTATGTTACATTAAATCAGTAAACTTACCAGGTTAGAAACTAATATTGAAAATAATAGCAAGTTGGAGTGCGTTGCATCTATTAGACGCAATAATTATAACGGAAAAGTTTTGAAATTTTTAGAATATCTCCTAATAATATTTTACTTGAGAGATTAAATGCAAATTCTTTTTCTCTTTTTTTATACAGACACATTTTGTTTTAGTAATGACTCGGCGACAGTAGGAGAGGAATACAGTGACTTTGTAGTAAAGATCGCAATATCGGTAAAATTTTGCTCAAAAGCCGTTCCAACATCTTGATCTGATTTTGTTTATTTACTGATAAAATTCAATTGAAAAACTAAATTGTGTGGCTTTATCTTGCCAGTTTTGCTATTCATTATACTCTATGTCATTTTAATTTTATTAGAGACAGTCTAAATTTAATTTAAATTATTTGCGTCTGTTTAGAGTCTGTTTTAGAATTAAATATTGCATTAAATTCAAGATTAATACGTCTAAATTATGTTTATAAGTTTAATTTATTATTTTTATATGGATGTAATGGAAGTTTTTTCACTTCAACGGCTCGTCTCGATGTTCATTTATTGAAACAAAGCATAACTTTCTATTTTATTTTTGTGTCTGAATCAGAACTTTAATTATTATTATTTATAATAAAATTACACAAGGGTTTGAAAATGTTATCGTATAAGTTTTGCAGAGCCTAATGCAAGCTACATTAGGTTTTGCAAAACGTGTTATATTTAAGAATAAATTGACAAGATTGAATGAATTTCCAGCAACGAACTAAACTTAATAGTCATGGAAAAACTTTCACGAATTTGATATTAAACATATGAAAAGAGATTTATCTTAAGTAAACTCTTTCATAGTTTGTTTTTTTAAAAATAATTATACATAGAATGTATGTCTGTAAACAATGACAACAATGATACAACACATGCCATACCTACAGTTCGGTAAACAGAGAGGCTCACAATATCCTTATCCCGGT